ATTCACATGATTTTTCAGTTTGATGATATCCACCAGCTGGTGTATTATAAATCTGAGAAAATTGTATACATAGCAAGTGAAATAAAAAAGAAAACAAATGGAAAACCAGAAGTTCACAAAATTAATAGGTAAGCATTTTAACTAAAGTATTTTAAACGCATCCCACTAAATATTTCAAAAATACATTCGAACTTTTAATATTTTTCTAAGGTACTCTACTAAGTCTCTTACGATAAAATTCTCAGCAATCTGGATAAATAAAATTTTTAAGGGGATCTATTGACTATGAAGACCCAAAGAACGCTGAACAGAGACATTTTATTCCAGTTGAGTGTCAATGGTCAGCACCTCAACCTCTCTACCATAGACACATTGTAGGTCAAGGATTCCAGTCGGCATCTTATTTTTGGGGATAAATATTTTTACCATAACCTTACAGCACGCATATTCCCTTATCTTGGACTATATATTTAACTAATAATGGTGAGTTACGAGCAGGCACACACATCATCATTTTACTTGAATGGGCACTTATTCCAAGAAAACTTATAAATGGTGATTAGCTTTTTTGAATTTTTACGCTGCGCCCGATGAAATTACAGCTGTGTAGGTACTTTTACAGACTTTAATTTACCCGCTAAGACACTTTAAAGAACTGATTAAAGATATAACGCGCGGTCCGTCAGCTAAGGTGAGTTTTTTCTCATCATTCCTATTGGGAGTTGTGAAGAAAAACAAGTGTAAAAATAGCATTTAGTACTGCGTATAAGCGTGGAACTAAATGAAAGAATGCACAGTCGTTATACAGAAATGGTCTGCAGAAGCCTTCACGCTTGGACGTGTTGAGATATGTTATGAATTCTGAAGAACGTTGAGCACTTGACTTATTTTTAAGATGACAAAAACATTTGTACTGACCTGCTCACTTTATAGGCTGAGCTCATTAACACTTGACATGGAAAAAGGTGTAATTAATTTTTTTGTTAAAAATGCAACTAAATCTTGAATAGCTGGCGCAGGGTGTTTTGATCCACCTTTTATGGGTGATGCGACTTTTTTATTTCTCGTGTTAAAAAAAACGCATTTGAAATAGAACGTTGTCAAACCTCTTACATTACTTTAGAATTGATTACGTTACAGATTTGTTTTGTGGGCAAATGTACGGATGTGATTCCAATAGGTGCGTGACCGGTGTCGGAAGTGTATTAATGAAAATATAGACACTACCTTAAAAATGTTAAATTCTGACTTAATTTAATGCTTATAAAACAAAATGTATGGTAATAGGAAAACACAATGAAAATACTATTACAGTTAGGATGAGAGGCGGAATAATTGAAAATCTTGAATCAATTATATATTTAGGTACCTATATATATTGATTGTAAACTAAAGTTTGAGGATCACTATGAATACATTATTTCAAAAATTGAAAAAAAAACAAATTACTTTTATATGGTTTCTCATGGTCTTAGTACATATTAAAAAAAATAGTTTATAATACAATTATTCTTCAGCATTTACTATATTGTTCAACTATCTTGTCCACTGCCAACGAACATGTATTCTCAAAATTACAAGTCTTGCAAAATTAAGCTGTGAGAATAATATTTGATAAAAATAAGTACACCAAAATAAAATCTACGAGTATATTACAGGAATTGCAGTGGTTGAATATAAAAAATGTCATATCATATTTGGTTCTTATTTTTATATTTAAAATAAAAAATCATCTTTTGCCACAGCACTTAGAACACTACATAGAATTGAATAATCATTACCACAATTATTATAGAAGAGGAAATATAGATTTTCATTGAACAAATTGCAATAGTAATATAACTAACAAATCAATATTTCAGTAAGGATTACTTGAACTTAATACACTACTTGTAATTTGAAGATGTTTAAAAGAAAATTAGAGGAATCTCATGGACAGTGTACATTCTTAGAGACGGAAGTTTTGTTTTTCTATCTGTATGTTATGAAATTGTTGTAGTTTTTTAAAAGAATGATATTGTAGCAGTCATGCTAAATAAATTTTAAACAACCAAACAAACAAAAAATGCCTAATGTTTCATATTGTTTACCTTCCAAAATCACGAATCAAGCAGAATTGTTCATATGCAGAATCATCATTGAATATTTACTTTCGTTTGTTTGCCTTATATAATTTACCCCTGTCATCAAATTGCGATACACCCTTCTCCGCCCCCTACAATCACAACCCCCAACTTTCACCCTTAAAAATATGAAGCTCCAGCGATTTTTTTTGTTATTAGCCTGCCACTGAACCGATTTTCAGAAACTACAGAGCCTTTTTGTTCTTGGCATAGTAGCAACCTTGTGTGAAAGTGCGAGCGGTATATGCAAGTTATAGGCAGTTCAAGGAATAGCGGACAGCTAGACAGACCACAGACAGACGTACAGACAGACGGACAGGCAGACAGATGGAAATAAGTGATATGGTTTTTCGTGATATGCACATCCAAACAACATAATATTTGGTTTTCGAAAATAAAATGACTCAATATACACGTACCTCCTTCTGGAGGCTTCTCTTCGTAGCAAGTTGCTTTTGACAAGGTAAAAGACAATGCACTGCCATGGATCTCAAAACTTTAAGCTGTAATTACTTTTTCAAAGATACTTTGTTCATGTGCATTGGCTAATTTAAGCAGTACAAACAAGAAAAAAGACATTGACTTATATTGATTCCTCACATAATGATTGTTATTTGTTCAAGTCTGCTTTCTGATTACTTTAATTTAAAATTTCATTAATCACCAGCGTATGAGTTCCGAGAGACAGTAACTCATTTGACGTGGAATATTTAATTAAAATTTCGTGTGAAACTCGTATATATTTTTCTTTTTTTTTATTACACCAGATGTCATGTCATAATCTAAGCAATACAACCTTTATTGGCAGAGAAAGGTAATATGATATGATGGAGCTCCTGCAGCTTTAACAATAAAATGCTATCAAAGAACGACGCTAAATGAGGTTGAGCACAATACTATATAATGTTTGCGGCTTTGGAACCCAATCCGGGACTTGTCCCGTTTTCAAAATATCAGCAAGGAAGTGTAGCAAAGACGCGGTCAAGTTTATCCCACAACTAACCATAGTACTCAACCAACGTGCTGTGTTACAATTAAGAGGAAATTAGCCGCAAAAGTCTCAGCTTAAAGTATGAATGTAAGGTTTGCGTGCAAGATAAACATAAGTATCGTCCATCAACCGTGAAACAGTTATGTTTCTGTTCGGGAAACGTTGCTCGAAAGCCGGTTGTATGCCACCCACTACCTACGGGACAATATTTTTATTGGTAACTATCTGGTAAACGTCGATATAAACGTTCCCTACCAGTTTTATACTCGCCACGGCAATATAATGTGAAACGAGCACAATCTCTGGATCAGGCATATTCTAACAGAAACGCTGAGATTGGTTGAGTTTCTTTAGCTGCTTGTCTTTGTAGAATGTGGGAAGTACAAGTTGTGACGCCTTCAGAATATGTGAGGGTCGATCAGAGCCTAAATCTCCGATCACTTTCCAGCCGAACACTTCATTTTCGTTTACCGATACTCCAGCACGATTTTATTTTACTCTTCTTCAAGAAGCTGTTGTACTGTAGATGTTGTAGATGGACTTTTGGTTTCGTTCTCATTCCGTGAAGCCATAGAGTACCACCACTACTACTTAGTAGGATTTTCGTCACTGTCACTGTAGAACAGGTATATTCCTTCGAAAGAATAACCATAGATCTTTTATTTGCGCCTTTTGGAAGAATTTCCTTCCGGTGCCCATGGTAACTGGCAGCTGCCAAATAGGTGGTGGCACCAGGATCCGAGATTTAGTGCCAGTTACCATGGATGACCGCAGACATTTTTCCAGGAAGGCTAGTACAAACATACGAATGTGCACTCGAGGTTCTTTGAAAAGCAAAAAATAGCTCTGACAGAAGATATCATGAGAATGTGTGAGCCCTCAAACCTTTTTGAAAAGCGGGATTGGGCAAACTTTCCCCGGAGATCCTACCAGAAGTTTCTCACATTAGTTACACGTTATATTAAATAATACTTACTTTTTTCTGATAATCTCTTGAAGAAAATAGCTTTGAAAGACATAACACATTTGTTTTTATTGTTTGATCTAGCGGTTTTAAATTATTGTTATAAAGTGCTATGGCAGTGATGGAAATCCTACCAAACTAAACGTACCCAATTTTTGACAGACTAGAGGACAAGGAATAAAAGATTCTGTGGAGCTCTCCTTAAGGGCGTTACCAGATATCGGATTTTATTAGATAACTCTTGAAGGTCACCTCAAAATTCAATGTAACTTTGAAGGCATATTACCAGTTTAACGCTTCCGTGATAGAGTTGATGGAAAACTCGCTCACATCACCAGGATCGGAGCCCTAATGCTGTAATGCTGATACTTTTACATTACGTATAACAACAACCCAAATAATAAATAGGGAAGCCTAATACTTTAACTGGGAAAAAAACATATTTATTCTTATTTGTCTACATCACATTGCAGGTACTGGAATATTCAGTAAGTAGGTAAGCATGTGGAGTAAGTAGTACACTACTAGTACAGCGGGGTCGGCAAAAAGGTCAAAGCTTGCCTAGTTGTAACGCTTCGCCTTCCCACCACTCCTACTATTATTTCTAGTACTTTGATACTGCTTCTGTTGATCTACACTGCAGCCAGCCCCTAGAAATCAGCAGTTTTGCGTTCTGGCCAGTTCGTGGAGAGTTAAATTAGCTAATTGTTTCCTATGGACGCTGACACATCGACAACAAACGAATCTCTTGTCATGTGCCATATTGGTGACTCTGAACTGATGTCTCGATAGTATCGGCGAAATTCGTCTTCCAGCGCTTGCAAATGAGTTATTATGTCAGCTTTTAAATTTGCGTCCAGTATGTTATTTTTAATTGCTTCGAACAACTGAGAAAAAGATATAACATTTTCAGAAGACACTTTTTGATTCCAAGGTTGAAGCTTTGATATGAAACCCTGAATATAATCATAATTGCCTATTATAGTGTTGTTTCTGCCCTGAAGTTTCAAGTTTTGCTCATTCAAGGAGTCAAATAAGCCAACCTCCATTGAAATGTGTCATTTTTAAAAATTGTCAAGAAATAGTGTTTTTCTTTGAACTCAAGAAAAAGAATTACCTCTTCTTTCAATTCATAAAGGCCAGCCAACATGTTGCTTTTGGATGGCCAGCGTACTTTTGTATGAAACAGAAGAACTTTGTGATCAGAAACGAGATCCTCGCAAAGCAAAGTAAACAACTGGATGTTCAAAGCGCTGCTCTTGATGTAGTTTACAATCCTTATAGCCGAGTCCAAAGTCTGGCATAATTTCTGTGGCAACGTTTTGGAAGCCAAAGCTTGCCGATGAATAACACAATGTTTACTAACCATTGCGGGATTTTTTTCCTTGAGCTTTTTAGCTAAGCCTAATCGTACACCTATCATTGCAGGTGCGCCATCTGTACAAAGGCCAATGAGTTTCTTCCAATCCAAATCATCTTTTTCAACAAAACTTGATATTGAATTAAATATATTTTCTGATATAGTATCTGCTGTCAAGGATTGGGTGTACAAAATCTCTTCTTGAACGATATCTCCGCAGATGTAACGAACATAAACTATTAACTGTACACAATTAACGATGTCGCAACTAATGGAAAAAAATGGCGATAATTTTACTTTGTTAATTGTTTGTGACTTTATGTCTGCTGCAATGTCATCAATTCTACGCTTAACTGTGTTATTCGAAAGAGAAATAGACTTCATTTTTTGCTCTGCATCTTCAATCTGCGGGGCTTTTAGCACACACCGTTTTATTAATTCTTCATCGATGGTATGAGGTTTTTTTTGCTTTGCTATCATAAAAGCTATTTCAAATGATGCTTCGAGATACTGTGTGATAACTTCCCGATTTATCCAGTCTCATCCGCTTGAGTGATCCTGATTTAGAAGAAAAAACACTTTCGTCCTCAAAACCAGGGTAGGATGTTGTTGCTTCAAATGCCTTTCAAGGCGATTGGGCCTCATGCTGTCATTACTTAAAACTTTCATTCATATCATACACTGAGGCAATTGTAACTCGTCTTTTTCTAAAAAGGTAAATCCAAAGTTAACGTAATCTTCGAAAAAGTTTATTTTTCTCGCTGCCATTTTGCACCTATAACAATGAAACAAATAAGTAATAAATGAATAAGCAAAATACCTACATGTAATTTCTAATTATATGCCCATTATTTTATCTTAATAACGTAATGTATTTAACAGTATACTGGTTGACAGAATAAGTGAATATGACATTTAATTTTTAATTTTATGCGTGTAAATTAAACATTACATTGTAATGTTATCTGTTAATGTTGTTTGTTTATTTTTTTTTGTTTTTTCTTTCTAAAATGCAAACGCTTTCCGCCCCCCTTGACATCTCTCTATGTCCCCCTTGAGAGGCGCGCCCTCCTGGTTGGGAACTCCTGGTCTAGAACATCCTTGCAAGTAGTCTTTATAGTACTGACAAAGTAAAGCAATCTACCGGAAGGATGTCCCCAATTCTAGCGAACCTATTCTTCAAATCTCGTATCAGTATAATTCCTTTTAGCAGCAACATTCAGTAATTACCTTACCGGAAAGAAATTCTGTATCCTGTCTTACGGACCAATGGCACTTGACAGCAACTACTATTATATTCTTCAGTCATTGAACCATCGCGAATGAGCCCTTCTCATACGATTGCCAGATTCGCGAAGACAGCTTCCAAGCAATTACTTGACATCACTGGACGTACTGCCAAGTACTACCACTAACGACCAATGGGAATTAGTTAATATTTAATTTAAATTACCGTCGTGGTGCAACAGGAAATGGAAGAACAGTAGAACGCCGACTGGAAGATAAGTATCTCTTTCTACTGTACTGTGCTGCATTTTAGAGGTATAAACAAAGCGGTACTGTTATTAAGACCGTAGGTATGGTATCTGTGATGTCACTTTGGTATTGAGAGCTTCCAATGGCTTTTCTTGCGCTGGCCAAGCATGTAGCTGTACTACATACGAGGGTTAGTATGATTATTCTCCATGTTAGACTCAAAGGTGGATCATTCGGAATTATCTCGATCATCACAGCTTGATTAGCGTCAGGTAATATGATTTCTGGTAACAGGGGACCTCTTAGCTCACGTCATACAACTGTGGAGTCGTGTGTGGATTGAGCTTTTGCAGCCATATGACAAGGTTCTTGTCGTTGCTTGACAGCTTTGCAGATGGGTAGTTGACGACCTCTCCGGCCGCAAGATATCTGTAGTGATTGATGGGTTCCCCACTTCATCCCAGAATGTCAGCCCGGGTGTACCCCAGGGATCAAATCCACAGCTTTGTGGTTTGACAGAACTCCACAGAAAGGCATTTGGTGTGGCAAGCAATTTCTTGACAAAAGATTGTATTAATAATAGAACCGATTTCAATTTTTTATGTGCGAATATCTGTTGAATTAGTCAATCTTAATAGTTACATACAGTCAAAACTAATGAATATCTGACAGATCTACCTATCAGCAATATATGAACATTTTCCACATTCTAACCCCCCCATCAGTACGGAACAAGACTGAAAGCCAGCAATATCGATATCCCAAGAGCAAATAAAATAATCGGTCAGCGATGCTATGTACCTAACGAGATTAAATCCAAAAATACTACACATAATACTGAGATAGATTTGTGCTGAACCTAGAACAGTCGCATCGGAATTAATTGACATAAGAAATAACTAAATAGTTTTGTTCTAGCCTTACACAGTTAAAAATATTAAAATATAAGCATCAAACACTTATGGTTGTTTATAAGGTTCACTTAACTTTTCTAATATAAATTTTTCAAATTATATAGAATTCTATTTTTTGCAAATGTCTCAGTATATCGTATCGAAATAAGTCAGCTCAAAGCCTCATCTATTATACCAGAATCGACCACTGCGCTGTCTTATTCCGATAGATCGTATCTCCGATAGAGTATAGTTGCGATGTTTGGTTAGACCGACGAAAGCATGTTTAGTTTATATGTTATATATGTTATTTGTATATTTGTTTGGTGTCAAATGTATAGTATAAGGATACATCTACGCACAAGTGGATTTCTTATATTTAGTTTATTTCAGCTTTTTAGCTTTTCTTTGTTATTAAATAATTTGCTACTACTACTACTAGTTTTTATATTCCACAATTTTCAGCAAAACAATCTATCCAAATCTATTTATAAATTTTTTACTCTTCTTATACCAATTTCTCCTGGCTATACCAATGGCATGAACGTAGCAATGTTACCAGCACGACATTAGGGTACCTATTTCTAGCTACTTTTCTGTCAGTTGTTGGAAAAGCTTTAAGAAGTTAGCAGCTTTTTACTGAAAATTCTTTTTCAAAGTTTATGTGACCTTTATAGTGTATCGTTTACTTCTCTACAGTTTGGCTTTTTCTTGTCAATGAACCTCAGATTAGATAAACGGCGACCGTTGGCATCGAATTGTCTCTTCTGTTTCCATTCATTCATTCACGGTCAAACCCAAGCCAGCTGACATTCGGCTTTCGAATGCAATTCTCATTTGTAAATCAGCAGAAGAATTTATTCGGTACCATCTCGGGTGTGCCGTACTATCTGCGGTGCGCTCGGCTGTGGTGCGGTTCGTATTCCATTTCCAATAAATATCGAGAAAGGCGCACAAATGACTCGTACACTAATTTAATGTTCATACATTTGCTTTGATTTGCAACCAAATGGGCTGCACTGTTATGTATTAACAAGAGTGATTTGTTGAAGATTGAACAGTATTTACTACTGGGTATAGCCGCAAATGGGGCATGGCGCAATATGATAACTATACGGCTAATACTAATGGGGCTTTTATACAAATAACAATTACACAGGCCTGCAAAATTGACCGTCCCAACATTATCTTTACTTTCCTCATGACTGGCAAGGAAATTTTTAATAACCAAGGATTTCGGAAATCATATACTGCTTTTTGGATATTCTGCATCCCGAAAAACTCATTTCTGTCGATCTGTTGGTTGTCAGTCTGTGGGCCTGTCGGTTGGTATGTCTACCTGCCTCTCGGTCTATTGGTATGTCGGTCTGTGGGTCAGTCAGTCAGTCTCCCACAAAGTTACTACTATATCAAGAACGAAAAATATTTGTCGTTTGCTCAAATCGGTATAGTGTACGCGGAGAAAAAAACAAAAAATAATAAAAAAGCTCAAACTGTGTTTTGACGCTTCAAAGGTTCCTTATCGTTTAAAAAAAATAAGGAGCTAAAAGATTGTAGGGTGAGGTATTGTGGGGCTTGGGGGAGCGTGTATCGCAGTCTTATACACTGTAGCATGCTGTTGTTATTGGGAAAAGAGGGAACAACGATTTTCAAAAAACAACGTGATGGAATTTATGATTTTATTTTTCTGGTAGCTCAGTATCTAATACCCACTCTACCTATGTTTCCTATTTTTATAGGCTTTTTATTATTAATAGATTGGTCGAGTTTCCCTATATAAAGCAAAGGGCTTTCATTTTAGTATAACATACAAAACTTTATATTTCTCTACAAATCCCAGGCTCTGTAAGTTGCTTTTGTTTTAAGAATTAGTTGACATTAACTTGTTTAATGATACTCTTTGGCATTCCTGAAGAAGCTTTAAACATTCGCAAAAGACTGATGAAAAATAGTTCTTTTGGGCTATACCACCAGCATTTTAGAACATTCGTATCATTTTAAGAGTTTTTGATTGAATCTGCATTGAAAGATATTATTTACTATATGTTGGGTAAGATTCGGAAACTTTTCAATTTTGGAACTGCAGTTTGATTATCTTTAGAGGCAATCTTGCTTCAATTGCCGATCAGGTCAGCAATTTTAATTTCTATTTTATTTTTCAGGTAAGCTCTTGATTATTTGCTGTTGCCAATATGGTGAGTAGAGTCCGAAATAACACCTTAGCTTGAACTTTGTTTAACTGCATGATTTTTAGTCACCGTGAAGCCTTAGGGTGAGATTGGTAGACTCTACCTGGGTCTAGCATCCTAGAATCAGAAGTTATGATGTTTTGCGACCGAGATAGGTCTCGGTAATTTGCGCAAATAGACAGAAAGGGTCCTAGTATTTATGCACGTAATGGTATAATATCGCAACGAATAAATTTGGCGAATATTTTATTGCAATTTCAGGTTGACTAATGTCTACAGGACCGTAAATTATCCCAGCAAACTAACTACTTTTATTGAGTTGGTAGGGAACCATAAATATGTCGGCAATAGATTGATTTATTCCGTTAATGGAGATCAGATTAACATTGAGTGCATTAGAGAACGATTTATTTTAAAATTAGTAAAAAGTTGAATACATATCACCAACATGATATACGAGGGAACATTGTTACGTTACCCCACTAGTAGAGGTCTTTT